CTTCTGCTGCAGTACGGGAATTTTTACCCCCCCCCCCCCTATAAAACCCACACCATCATCTAGAGAGTTCGGTAGGTTACGGTACGTGTTCACCTCATGTATCTGCAGCACAGAGGCGCTGATCAACATCTCCAGGAAATGCACACGACTGCGGTCAGGAAGGGTCATGCACTAGACCATCTTTCCGAACGCATCTGCCATGCAAGCTGCGCCGCTAGTGTGTTCAGTACTGATCTCTGCAAACCTCTGGAATCTACGACGTTCCCACTTCTTGAGGGGGGGGGGCTAAAGGACCGCCTCCATCGCGTATTTTGCAAGTATGCTTCAACCTGCTGTGGAGGGTCTGTACGAAATACACCAAGCCTACCATTAGCTACTCTACCAGAAAATAACGCCGAAAGTTTCCAAATGCAAAATTTTTTATATTTCAAGAGGCACAGCTGTTTCAGATGGAAACAGAGCGGAAGTCTACATGCTATTAGAAATAAAGAATATTTTCTCTTCTAACAGCAAAAATTCGCCCATAGACGATCTTGCTCCGAATGTTTGCTTCAGCTGCTATAAGAGGGCCTCTCAATAATACCCCACGAGTCCATTTAGGAACCCCGGAGCGAACGTGGTTCAAACAGCTCTCCGAGCCAGCTGGTGAAGAGCTAGCTGATTGGGACAAACATCATAATGTACCGGTGTGTAGTGGCTTTTACCACTGTATTACTTTGTCTGAGATACAACGAATGGGTAAGAAGCAGCGGCAGCGTTAGTGGCAAACCATCGGAGAACCTTGAACTGCGCTCCATGGTTTGAGTAATGCGGTGGTTTTCTACTAACCTTGTCACTGCTCTGTTCATTTCTGACACCAGTAGATACTACACCTTCCCCTCCTACCGGCAGGTCACATACAACCCATGCCGCGGATTCGACGACAAACGCTTGACCCTGGTGGGTAGCATTGAGGAAACGATTCCCTCGATGGCATGCTTCACCCTGTGTAACATTACAGAAAGATTTCCATAAATGTTGTAGGTGGGTATTGATAAATCCAACGCTCTTGTTAAAAAAAGTCGGAAAGAATTCCCGCTAGACCTTGTTCGCTCATTCCCTAGTGAATGCTTCTCATTTGTGAATTTATATTCCACAGAAGGTGGTGTTACCAAACAGGGTACAGTATCATTCGGGAAACTCATAGGGGTGCCAACGGGAGGGGGGGGGTCGTATCCAGCTGCGAGAGAATTCTGCGAGTTGCCAGCGAAACTGCGGTGATTGATTTTTCCTGTTTCACGCGCGAACTTTATGTTCATCCAAACCGCTGACACCAGCGTATAATAAACGGCAAGGAAAAATTCTCCACTCCTGGTCATCCCATTCTAGGATACGGCAAGCGTTCCATTTCCATTCAGAATAGTAGGGGCTTACTGAAGGCGATGTGACTTTTGCTATGACTTGCGGGGGCAGTCGATGTACAAGTCCTCCCAGACGAGTTGATAAGGATAAAATCATGGTTTGTACATCGGCTGTCCCCGGATTTGTCCTATACAATGAGCACGGTTGGCCTCGGGTCAGAGATTTGATTTCTGCAGTTTGGTAAGCGTGAAACCTGCACTACACCACCTCCATCTCATAATCACTTTATAATCCTTATTTCTAATAGATGATCGCTCGAGAGCAGTAATTTGAGGAGCATTGAATTTTTTTTTGAAAATAGGGTAAGAAGCTGTCGGGAGAGGAATTCCTATGGAGGTGGGGGGGGGGGAGAATACGGAAAGAATAAGTGGGTTGGGGTTGTTTGAAATGTCGATTTCACCCATCCCGATGCTGTATCCTCTTCTAATTGTACGAGTAGATGACAAAAACGAAATGAAGTCCCTCTGGAGCGCCGTTTATTCTGAATGAATAGAAATAAGGAGTTTTATTCGAATACACGGAATCTCGACAGTACTGATAGAAAGCAGCGTTCTCAAAGACAAACCCCTCTACCTTGCGGATAGCGGCGTTGATTTACAGACCTGTACTTCCCTACAGGTGAGAGAAAAATCATGGAAAACACCCTCAAGAGTCCCTGCAAGCCTCGCTGTACGTTCTCTGGAGGCGCTCGTTGTAAGTAAGCAAAGAGATGTCGTGTCGCTTCTAGCTCACAAATCGTCACTCATTGTTAACACCATCTGGCAGTGACAAAACGAAAAACACAGTATGAAAAGAGAGTTTTTGACAGAGAATAGCCTTTGCGTTTTGATGGGCGGAGCAACCAGGGAGGCGTCAGAGCTGCCACTTATGAGGACCGCAGCACATTCATTACTTCCTGTGAAGCGGCGGAAGTGGGAAGATTTTAGAAGCAGCGGGCCAAACCAAATGAACCGTGCGGGCGGAGGGAATGTCTCCAATTAATGCTCTTCATCGGCCGTAGTTAGGCAGTTGCTGTGATTCGCTGAACCTTAAATTCAGCGAATCACAGCAACTGATCAGTCCTTTCGGTATGCAATATGTACTTCACTTCCATTCAAAATCTTAGTGATCCATTGACTGCAATATGTCCTACAATGACTTGCGACGGCCAGCCGATGACCATAGCCCTCCCAGACAAGCCTGGTGTCAATCACTAACCTCAGAGGACGTCGTCAATGGAGCGAGAAAGGCTTGCTTCAAACAGCTTATGATTGTTGAGTGTCCTATCGACAGTCCTTTCACAATGAGACGGCACTGACGAATCGTTGACAACAATGCTTTGCTTTCGATTCGGGAACATTCTGTGCTCTCTTGCAGTCGGGAAATATCACATATTGCGATCGATGCTGAACAGCAAACGAATCAAACAGGGTTGCCTCCAATTCAGGACGCCCAAGCCAATAGCCGAGAGCACTGATTATTAATAGATCAGAAATCACCAGTGATAAGACGAAGCAGCCTGTGGTTATAGGCGTTCGGAAGCAAATTATGTGGGACCGTATTCGGCCAGTGGTACCTATTATTCGGAGTCGGGATACGTTGCACGAAGGGAATCCCCAGCGAAGCGAGCAAGGGGTCGTACTTGGTCGATGGAGGGAGCAGGTGGTTGTCGTTGACAACGAGGAAACTGTTTTCAGTTGTTGACTATTTTCGTTGCGGGAATTGTTGTAAAAGTGTATAGAAAAAAGGTAAGAAGTTCAGAACGTTTAGGAAGCTGGTAGGTAGGACGGAAATGGTGAAGTGCGGAGTCGCACTAAAGGGGGAAATTGTGAGGGAGGGGGTCGTGTTTTGCACATTCCCTCCAACGGAAGCATGCCCTTACTGAAACAGAACCAAAAATTTAAATCTGGAAACAGTCAATGGTAAACATGTATCTCATGTCATCCAACTGATCAAGGAATATCTCAGGCGCCATCGACGTCTCTAGTTCCTCCTACTGTGGATGTAACCGAAGTGTAAAAGTAGTCCACTGAATCCTGTCCGCTAGATGTTTATTTCCTTGGTTCATAGCACACATTGAAAAAAAATTGGCTGAGCATTTGGCCGACTTGACAGTAAAATGATGTCAATGGTCCTGTCCTCTCCGGTAGGTGAGCCAAACGCAGGCGAATTTCCTTACGGGAACTTTCATTAGATTGGCTGTGAGCATCGCAGATAAATCAATAAGTGCTGGAAAGGGCTATACAGTTTATCATTTAGCTACCAGCTGAATCCTGTCCGCTAAGATGTTTACTTTCCTTTCGCGTCATAGCACACATTGAAAAAAAATTAGCTGAGTATTTGGCCGACGTGACAGTAAAATGATGTCAATGGTCCCCTCTCCGGTAGGTGAGCCAAACGCAGGCGAATTTCCTCTTACAGTTGTCATTGTTGCAAATTAAGCCACTGGAATTGCAATACAAAATAATGTGACAGCGGCACAAAAGGGATTTTTGTGAAGTTAAAAACTCTTTTCAGACAGTTACGAAATCCAAAATTTGCACGTAGCTAGACCAACAAGCAACCGTGATTGGCTACAAACGAAGATTTTTGAACGGCCAACTGTATGCCCTACGGGTATAAAAGCGGGGCCAGAAGTACCTGTTCATCATAACATCAGCTTTCCGTCATGTTACGTCTGCTTTTCGCTCTCGTCGTCATCGGAATCACTCCACCAGGAGTGGAGCCCTCCTCAGTGCCGGTAGGTGGGAACTTCGGAGACTGAGAAATCCGGAGAACTCAAGGTATTTTTTTCAAAGTACAGCAGGCTCAGCCAGTGCCAAAACCCGAAG